TTCCGTAGTGATACTGCCTTGGAAACCCAAGGAGGGGTCACTATGAGTTGGGGCCAACTCGACGGCACATAACAACAACAACAACAGGGGCTGGGGAAAGAGGAATGACAGGTAACTGCATAGTGGGCACAGGGTATCCTTTTGGAATGATAAATATGTTTCAGAACTAGATACAGGTGGTGGTTCCACAATATTGTGAATATATTAAATGCCAATGAATTATACACTTTAAAATGGTAACTTCATGTTATATGTATTTTAATACAATAAAGAGGGGGAGTATATATTTGGTAAGGAGCTCTCATGGAGTAATGGTTAAGGCATTTTGCTCCTATCCAAAAAGTCAGTGGTTCAAACCAACGAGGTGCTTCATGGAAGAAAGATGAGGCAGTCTGAATCTGTAACGATTTATAGCCTTGGAAACCCAACAGGGGCCACTCTAAGTCAGAATTAACTCAATGGCAGTGAGTTTGATTTTTTTCTAACATATATATATTTGGTACTCAGAACCATCTAGGTCAATGGTCATAAACTCTTAAGTTATGGTTCACCAACCCAGACACACACCAGATCTATGTAGGATCTTGGATGGAGTGGGAGAACAATGTGAAACAAAACTCAAAATCACTTGGGGAAAAAAAGGGGGGGAGGACCAGGTTTGCTGGTCTGAATATTAAATACATAAGAATCTTTTTCTTTTCCACACACACACACTCCCTGCCAAAATGATACACGTCTATTGTTTTTGGTCCAGCTCTGATTTCCTCACTTTTGAATAGAGACTCAGGCACAGGGAATATTTTCTTCCTATTATCTCTATTGTAAGGAAAAGAATAGTGCAATCATGATACATGAAATTGGCAACAATGGGCTCCCTCGGGGCCAGAGACCAGGGAGAGTAATAGACAAGACAGCAGTAAGTCACAGAGCTGTGTTCCATTTAACAGGAAGTCATTTCAATTCAGCCCCAGCACTGTAGCTCACCCCATTTTACAAGAGAAGCCAGAAATCTGGATTTGATCCCAATTTTTCAACTTGGGCAACAATTTCATATTTAAAGCAGCCCTAACAACAACACTGTGTGGGCCAGCTTTACAAGCAAGACAGAACATGCAGACTACGAATTTTCAACCTCAGTACAGACAGAAGTTGAGCTTTGAAAAGATATGAGGTGGCCCAGAAAGAGGGGAGAGAGAAGGAGGAAAAAGAAGACCAAGGACAACACACATTCAAAGCAGACAAGAAAGGAACAGTGGGCAGCAAGGGAGGGCATATGCCAGCTACTGCCATGAGAACAAGGCAGGATTTCAAGATGGAAAGAAGAGTTAAGGAGTCAAATGTGGGTAAAGAGAGAGCTGTAAAAAAGTGTCCATTGATCAAGCTCACTTGGCACAACATACTACATGAAACACTGTTCCACCTCCTACTTTGGAGAGTAGCAACTAGCATCTTAAAAGCTTGCAAGCAGCCATCTAGATGCAACGATGGGTCTCTCCTCATCCAGAGCAAAGAAGAATGAAGAAAAACAAAGATTCATGGAAACAATTAGTTCTAGAGACTGGTACACCAAGCAATCCACAGCCTATACAACTATGAGACCAGAAGAACTAGATGGTGCCTAGCTACCACTGTCAACCTCTTGCAGGGGGATCTGTATAGGATCTTGGATAGAGTGGGAGAACAATGTGAAACAAAACTCAAAATCACTTGGGGAAAAATAGGGGGGAGGACCAGGTTTGCTGGTCTGACAGAGCCTGGTGGAACCACTGAGATTATGGCCCCTAGCTGCCCTTCAGGTCTGGAATTGAACCCATACCTGTGGCTTCCAGCCAAACAAAAGACAGGCATATGAGGTGAACATTTACACTAGGTAGATACACACCTTGAAGAGAAAAATCATGGGAGAAAGAAGGGCTGTTTACACACAGGGATACAGCTCAAGGGGCAGGAGTACATGGAGGGATGGACACAGGGAAAAGGAAACTATGGGGAGGAAGTGGGAGGGGAGCTGTTGCATTGGGGTAAAT